AAAAATAAATTATAAATTATGTAAACCTCTGTTATGTATAATTATTAATCTTTTATATTCTTCTAGAGCTGCAGTGGGACATTTAAGATAATTGTAATCAAAGTTTAAGATTTGAAGAGTATTTCACGAAGTTGCACGACTCATAGCAACATATACTTGGCCTTCAGCAAATACAGTTTCGTCAATACTAGTAGTGACGTGCAGTAAGGTTAAACCTTGCACCTTGTGGGTAGTAAGAGCGAATATATTTGGAAGCGGAAATTGTTGTCTTGAAGCTGTTTGACCGTTGATATAGAAGTAAAAAGTTTCTCTTTGAACTATTACTTTGCTTACTCCTTTATATGTAGGAAAAGTTACTTCGATATTATCGTTATCTATGAGCTTAGTCATTATCCCAATGGTGCTGTTGCAGATACCATTATCAAATAATTTGCTATTTAAAAACATAACTCGGGCACCTTCTTGTAAGCATAAAGATCGAGGTAAATTTGTTATATTTTTAAATTGTGAAAATGAATAATCGTGAGGTAATATTTTATAGTTTAATGAATCTTTACATTCAGAGATTATAGATTCACAAGAGGTATGGTCTAATGAAAGATAATAACAAAGTATTTAATTGATAATCCGCCAGTCACAGAAGAATAAACATAGTGTAACGTGATGCAAATCACTATGTAAATCCAATATAGTGTAAATCTAAAAAATTTCTACTGTTTGTCCAAAGAAAACATTTTTTCATACTAAGTTTTAATCGATTTTATAAATTAATTGAAAGTTGTAGAGCTCATCCTTGCGGTTCTAAAGGTGGTTAAATCATCCAAATCGGCCCAGAAGATGCCGAGATATCTTTAAAAAGCACGTCAACAACTATATAAAATCTCTATATAAACAATATAGAGATTTTATATAGTAGTTAACGTGTTTTTTAAAGATATCTTGGCATCTACTAGGCCGATTTGGATGATTTAACCACCTTTAGAACCGCAAGGACGAGCTCTACAACTTTCAATTAATTTACAAAATCGATTAACTTAGTACGAAAAAATGTTTTCTTTGGACAAACAGTAGAAATTTTTTAGATTCACACTATATTGAATTTACATAGTGATTTGCATCACGTTATACTATGTTTATTCTTCTGTTGACTGGCGGATTATCAATTAAATGGCCAACCATTAAGATAATAGAGTTTTTTTCAAATGGAATAACTAATGAATCAGAATTTCTGGGGAAATCTTTGAAAGTAATTTCTCTAAATTGATTAGTATTGTTGTTTATTTGATATAATGCAGTTCCAGTAATGTAACTATCATTTCCAGTATTATTTCCAGTAACATTTTTAGCAAGACAAAAGCCACGAATAAGGAAGACATAATGTATAGAATTAAATAATAAGATTTATGTACAAAAAATTTATTAGAACAATTGAATAAAGGCGTAATAAAATAATTTTGAAGTACGAAACTTTATTTATTGATTATCGAAATTTGACTCAAGGTTTTGTCTTTTTTAATAACAAAATTATAGCATTTTTATAACAAACAATTAGCAAGAGGCTCAAGGGGCTTTTGTTAAAATTTTTACTTCATGGTCAAGGCTTTTTTAATTTTTACAGATTTTTGTAAAAAGGTTTTTAAAGAATTAACTATTTTCATGTTATTATTTATGACTCATTTACAACTTCATATTTTTTTATCATTAATCTGAGCCTGATATCAATACTTAGCTTCTTTTCAAACATGCTCCCATATTGTATACTTAGCTTTTTCCTTTCAGCACATTGCCCATGTGTTATACATGGTTCTTTCTTTATCTTGGGTTAGTCATTTATTATCACTTAATGAGTCATATTTTATGTAATTCATAGCCTCATTTGTTGTAGCATATTAAGATATATTTATGGGATTTAAGGTAATTACATTGATTAACATGATCTTGTGTAATCATAAATTTTAATAATCAACAGATTTGCTTAGAATTGTACGAAATGTTTCGCTTCTTATAAAGTAGAGAAAAAAGAAAACTTTAGATTATCAATTCATCAGAACGGTAAAAAATCTGACCGGAAAAAAATTGTAAATTAAAAAATAACAAAATTGATTATAATATATCCACAAGAAACATTTAATTTTTCTGACATAATAGCAAAAAAATTGCTCATTTGTTTAAAAATATACCTGTAAAATTTTCGAGTGCTCTGTGAAATCTGGTCAGTTCTGCTTTGCTATGCTCTGAACAAGACCATAGACTATACAATGCTTTCAACTTTGTGAAGCAATAAATGATCTTTTTTGGCCAATTTTTTGCTAAAAATGGATCTAATACAATGAGTAAAAGTAAAAATAGAAAAGCTACATCTCACCAAAATCAGATCGCTGTATAAGTGTATTAACATATAACAATATCATCCAATCTTGAGAATGATCTTTAGGTCTTGCAAAATTATACAATCAGATTATTAAAAGTGCCGTGACATAATTAATTGGTTGGCTAGTATTACTGTATCAATCTAATTTAGGCTAAAAATCTTCGCCTGTTTTCACAAATTTTATTTTGGCTGCGCCATAATACGTCACTAAGAAGCAAAAAAGCTGATTCTAATCGTTCTCTATAGGTACTAAAAACAATTTTTTAAAAAATCTAATTATTGCAAAAATGAACGATTTGTAAAGTCATATGTGATACATAAAGGAATAGCAAAAAAGTAGTTATATATATTCATTTGTATAAATTTAATCAGACCATTTATCGATATAAAATATCATAAAATTATAAAAGCAGCAATCCCTTGCTTTTCTTAATTTCATCACTTTTTCTGTTTAATATTTCAACTCGACATTATAAAATTTTTATTAAAAATGAAACAAGTATCTAAAATATCTAAAAAACTAAATCTAAAATATTTAAAGCAAAATGTAACAAGAAAACAAATATCTAAAAAAAAAATACCTGTGGGAGTCCGAGAAAGAATTATCCAATTGAGGGAGTTAAATTTTTCAACACGAGAAATAGGGATAAAATTTGGTATTGGGTCTTCAATAGTATCTAAAACTTCTAAAAGAGAAGAGGAAACAGGAGAGGTCAAAGATCGAGAAAGATCTGGACGTCCGCGAATCCTATCACCTGATGATGTAAAAGATATACTTGATATATTATCTTCAGAAAAAGGCTCAACAGCAGTTAAGATCCACTCAATGTATGTGGCTAAAACGGGCAAATATATTTCAGTAGAAACTATACGAAATATACTAAAAAGGTGTGGATATAAAGCTAGGGTTAAACCTAGAAAGCCTGGAATAGATGAAAAACCAGATTAGAACGCCTTGCTTTTGCCAGAGAGTATATTAACTGGACTCCTGATAATTGGAAAAAGGTTATCTTTTCTGACGAAAGCAAATTTGTACTTTTTTGGTCTAATTTTCGTAAATTTTGCTGGAGAAAAAAGGGAGATAAGTTAGAACGTGCTTATGTTAATCAGACCAAAAAATTTGGAGGTGGAAGCATAATGGTTTGGAGTTGTATAACTTCGCATGGTGTTGGTGAGATATGCCGTATCGAAACTCATCTAGATAATGAAGGTTATCGCATAATTCTAGCCAAAGATCTTTTTGGCACCTTACTTGAACATGACTTGGAGCTTAAAGATATTATTTTCAACATGATGGGGATCCAAAACACAGAGCAGCAGATACAAAAGACTGGATTAATCAAAGAAATATTAATACTCTTAAGTGGCCTCCTTATTCTCCTGATTTGAGCCCAATAGAAAATGTTTGGAGTGAAGTAAAAAGATGTCTAGAAGAGCGTCTAGAAGAGCAGCAGCAAGAACCAGCCATGAAAAGTGAAAAGCTAAATAAATTGTGGAAAATGGTAGAAGAAGAATGGAAAAAAATTGATATTAATTATATTATCAGTCTCTATGATTCTATGCCCTGCAGAATGGCTGCTGTGATTGCAAATGATGGTCTTTACACGGATTTCTAATACACATAAATGGCCATATAGATGGCCCAGGTATGTTACATTTCACTAATTAAAAAAATTGAATTATACTTGGGTACAAATTCTTAAACTCTGCGAAATTCCTAGTATTCGGTGAATTCTTGATATCTGAAGAATGATGGGAGAAAAATACTTCAAGGAATAATTAGAATAACGAAAATAAGTAGAATTCTTAGAATTCAGTTATATGTAAAATTAAATATATAAAGATTTTTTCTTCTAAAATAAAGAGTCTTAACTTCGAAGTCTTTATAGCAAAAGTGCCCAAGTAGTATTTCTCTTACAAAAATAAAAGTATTATTTAAGTTTGCTTAACCTGTTACTATCGCTATCGTATAAGATTCTTTTTTTGATAATGACTTTTTACAGTATATGATTTTATCGATATCGTAATCTTAGTCAGACATTCGTTTGATTGGCTGATATAAATCAATTGTCTGGGTAACTTATTTATACACTTTAAAGTACTTTTTAAGAACATAGTATTTCACTAATAAAAAATCACTGCAAAAGCCATTTTTCACTTCGAAAGAACGTTTATATTCCACAGTTAGGGATTTTACCATATTTGGTTATTGTCAATTGCACCTTATTTAGTAGTGATTACCACCCAGATTATTCTCAACTTTTATTCCAGATTGTTCTATGTACTACAATGATTGACCAATCAAATCAAGAGTCGATATTAATCGACTTTTACTAAATGTTAAAGCTCTTTACACAAAATACCACCTTCATATAGCGAAGTAAATATTAAATCTGACTGATCATAAACTCTAAATACTTGACAACAGGTCATACCTACTTTTTACTACACATGGTTACAAAAA